AATTAATCAGCATCTAGTTAACAAAGTAATGTTTGGTTTTGCCATTCAAATTACATACATAAAATATTTTAATCAAAAAAACCCAACAAAATAAATCTAATTCAGTTCTTTTATGGATGGAGTGGTGCATCATTCTATTAAACAGCCTGAAGAGAGACAGGGGGTGGGGGGGTGAAGTCAAAGGCTTAAACTTATCTTTTTGGTGACAGTGACAATAAAATTGAAGGATCTGAAAATTAGCTGATCCTGGAGGATGGCTGGGAAGGCCACTGCCACCTTCATCGACATTCTTCCCCCATGGCAATGTCGGCCTTGTGAACCTCTGGCACTGCTCCTTGGCAAAGTCAGCTCCAGGACCACCTTGTTGCTAGGCACGCTGCAAGTGAGTTTGAGATCTGTTGAAGGGATATTCTCACCACGAGGAGTGGCTTGGATTTAGAGATACAGATCTTCAGCATTCAAACACTGACATTAACAAACAAACAAAACAAAACCAAAAAAAGCAATATATTTATTTGCTTGGCTACAACTGTAATATGGAAAGATAAAATAGTTTCATGTTGAGAACCAACTGTGAGATAGTGTAAGATCTGATGCATTTCCCATCAACTTGATATCCTGTTGCAACAACTATCTTTTTTTATAGTTAAACTTAATTTTTCATACGCAAGTTAAAATAGCTAATGAAATAACTAATCATTACATTGATATACCTTTCTCAATAGCCAATTTCTAATGTTGGCTAATAAGTTATTTTACCCAAAAAAGGGCATCTTATGTTTTGCTGAGTGTGAAAACTAAGTGTGCTTATGGATATTCAGTTGTCAAACACTAATGAATTAAAAATAATTGTAAAAACAATATAAATGCTATTTTTAAAAGGTTTTCATAAACTGTATCTATGAAAGGTGGCTCAATAAAGCAAAACACTCCAAACTTTTCAGCAGAGGAAGCATGAAGATTCTGCACAAAAATAAACCTAGCGTGATACCTCATGTTTTACCAAGTACAATTACAAAATGGATTCTTAAGCAGAAATGGGAAAAAAAAAAAATCTTACTATAAGACAATAAGTAAACTTTTAAAAGACAGCATTGTGCTTTTCATTACTACAGTTTTCTTTCCCTTTAAAGAATAGTATTTTAAGGAGAAATTCACTTAGCCATTCCAGAAAATAAGGAAGCACGTAGAATTTGGTGAAGAAAAAAATTACTTTTCTGGTAGCATTTTTGCTGCCATTACACAAATTTTTTTGACTTCTCCTTAGGCTGAAGACATGAGATTCCAAAAATGGTGACACAATTGACCTTGACATAGCCTCTGTTACACTACAAGCTAAGTATTCAAGAGAAATGTAACGGCACAACATAACCTACCTGCACAAAGGAGGGGTTTTTTAATATATATGTGTGTGTGTATATTTCTTTTGCTTACCTATTAGGCGTATCTCTTCACTTTAACCTTTTTATGTGAAATATTTTACATATGTTTTCTTCTCATGGCTACTTCTTTTTGCTTTTTTTTTTTTTTTTTTAAAGGAACCTAAAGTTTTAGCAACTCCTTCCATGTATCTGTATATGCAGAGACTTTATTATTACCTGTATTATCAACAATGATTTTATCATGTCAATTTCTTTGCTCAGTGTCTGGTCACCTATTTACTAGGTATTTCATAAATCAAAGATCTTTAGGCACATGAAAGTGGGATATGTACTCTAGATGCCAGCTTTAAAAGTCTCATTCTTTAATCAGATTTTCATACAAGAACATGAGACTTTATATAATGACAGAATGAAAAAGAAAAGTGACAGATTGGGTGACTGGAATTTCTACTGGACTTTTTTTATCCATTAAAACATCCGGCCATATAAATTTGGAAGAGAATTTAGCACCAGCTGGAATCCTCAGACAGCATTAGTAAAACAATAACAAACCTCCCTCAAATAAAATTTTAAATCATGAGTTTCTAAAATACTTTCAAAAAATGAAACACACTTACTAAATTTAAAAATTTATATGCCTGACCACCAGGTCAAATCCTGTCATCTTGCAAACAGCAAGAAGAAACACAGTATTTAACTCTGCTGAGGATGTTTAATTTGACAGATTCCAGGAGACTCAGATTTACAGAGAACAGGTTGAAGCACGACTTTACAGCAACTGAAATTCAGGGTCCAAATAAGCAAATTAGCATTCTTGCACCAACAATGTTAAGCCAATGTTTAAGAAACAACCCCCTCAAAAAAGGGCGAAGAACCTAGGAACCTACGATTTGTTTGCAGGGTACTGGATTTCTAGTACATTCTCTCCCTCCAAGGACAGCCTGAGGAAAATGGAAATCTTCAGTCCCGCCTGACAACTCCACAAGCTCAACACGATAGTAGAGAGAAAAGTATTGCTAACTCTGCCCTTTAGAGCAAGAAGCCGGTGGGCTGGTGAGTAAACTTTGTGCTGCAGCCTCTGAAGTGAAGCTCCCTTTCTTGACCTACCGTTTGCAGGCAATAAAGCTTCAAGCTGCTGTACATCAGCTCCGTTTGCTGAGGTTATACAAGCAGGGTTCAACTAAGGCACTACCGATACAATTGAGTTAGCTTGTGTATTTCTACGTATTTGTAGTTACAGTACCATGCTAACAATGCATCTACTGCCTCCAGGCTGTATTGCTTGATTTTAATAAAAGGTTAGTTCAACTTCAAGCATTTTCTAGAACTTTCCTTGCATTTCAGGAGGTCCCATAGAAACTTGTTACCAGGAATGCCAACAAAAACCAGAAGCGGTAAGCGGCCAGCTCTGGAGCACAGATATAAAACTACTTTATTGGTATGAAACCAGCCCCGTGAGTTGTGAGAAATGACATATGTCATTGTTCCTTGTCTAAGTCTTGCACACTGAGGACCTACTAAGCAGGAAACAATGACAAAATAACGACAAAACAAAAGGAATCCAAGTCGTGTTTGTAAGAAGAGACAGGATTACACAACCTTATAGAGCAGCAGTCAGTCAACAAGAGCCTTCTGAAATAAACAGCAACTTTTCAAAAGAAGGCAGCAGACACATTCCTGTAGACACGGAGCATTACAAGATACATGCAAAGAATACTACTCATTTTTCCATAGTATCTATCAGGGCTAATTGTCAACAACAGCTCAGCTTAGCTAGAGGAATGTTTCAAGTCATATTTCAATCTGCTTTAAGGATTGTGCGATCCCAGAAACAGGTATATAAGCATTTAAGATGGCAAGTAAGCAGCTTTGAGGTTTGGATTTTAAATCGTTCACTCTTGAGACCTAACCCAAAAGAACTTGCACAGAGCGTGACATCAGGGAACTAAAGCCAAGGCTGGTTTTGATATACATAATACTACTTTATTCCATTGTTTCAACTTTCTTACAGGTTTAAAAAATGTACAGGGGTTCAGAACCACCTCAACAGAACAAAGAATACATAATTAAGGGATATCTAGAGTCAAACCACAAGTGTGCAAGCGTGGTTAGCTTCCATTACAAAAAGTAATAGGCACAATCTTTACATATGCATTTTGGTGAAAGGAGTAATAGTGCAGTGTTAAAAGGCACCAATAATCAATAATTGGGCCTTTTTTAAAAGCCAATAACCATCTAAGAAAATTACATTTGGTTCAAAATAATAATTTAAATATTTTATTGATTGGCTGAACCCCTGGCACTTTATTACACAAACCTACTGTGCGCCCTTGCAAAATAAAAAAATTTTCATCAGATGACCTGAAAACCAGTTCAGTACAAAAGGAAATACTGAAGCTCTCTGACTGCATTTAATACTAAACTGTCTTGTTCTCCTCCTCCAAGAACATCTGTCTAACAAACAGCTATTCAACAACTGCACAGAAGTATTTCTCTTAAAGCAAGTGTAATTTTTTTAATCCTGTAGCATTGACCTATTCCATGTGCTACAAAAACATTAGGCACAGACCACAATTTACGTTTTCTCTAAAAAAATACAGTATGTGCAAGCTAGGTTCACACAGCGGATTGACAGCTACAACAGTAAGCTATTTAGACTTCCCAAAGAAAAGGGTTAGTTGATTTTAATCTTCTAAGCAGTGATGCACACTGCTGTGTGCAATTATCATATTTGCATTAGGATTATCTGTGTAGCCAATAAAGGAAAAGCTTTAGTAAACCCTAAAGGACACTACATCGATACTGTGTGCTAATTTAACAGGATCAAGAGAATGAAAGATTGAAGAAGTCATTGTACATGGGCAGCTGCAGTTACTCAGCCAGCCAGGAAGGGCTATTGCTTTCTGCAGGAAGAATGGTTTGAAACTGTTTACCTCATAGGTGCCCTCAAACTAAACCACTTGGACGCGATGGAATCTGGGGATGCACAGTATGGAAAAAAAAGGGAAATGAGAGGGAGAGCTTCTGTGAAAGTTGTACCAAAATGTGCCATTTTATCCAAAAGCGTCATGCCCAGTGTAGGTTTTATGCATTGAGGATTGTTTGTACAACTGAAAATTGTACAAGATGTGAGCAGAGATAGAACTGATTATTAATCTGCAATATCTACTATAGTCCTCAGGTATATGCTTTACGGATAGCCACTTACTGTGTTGTTGATTGTTTCCTCTTAAATGTATTTAAATTCAGAAGGCTACAGTATATTCTGACACAAAGATTGTAAGACAACTTTTCTACAAGGGGGAAAATATAAGGTAGTAACTAATTTATTTTATGAGGAACGTCCTCTGATGTGGTAGTTATTTCATGCCCTTTGGAAGATTTTTAGTTCTGACTTTCTTCATTGTCTCTGTCAAATTGCTCTCCTCACCATTTCACAAGAGCTGTATTCAAGCTCAATGACCCCACTTACAGCAGCCTTTTCCTTTTCCACAATCACTTTTAAACTCACTCTAACATCATAGCAAGCTATTCAAGTAAACATTTCTCTTCTGGCAAGTTTCCAGATACAGCAAATACTATCAAAACTCCGCGCTTGATTACATGTGCCAGTTTTCTTTAAATGGAGCAGGAATTAGCCCGTTTTCTTGGTTTAGGGTCCCGTACATCCCTGTCTTTTAAACACATACAAGATGAACATATTGTCTCTGACAGTCTCCGCAGTCCCAGCCTGAAAACGCTGTTGGAGAGGCTATATATCACACAGTTGCAGAAACTATTGCTTATAGCAAGCCACGTCGTTAAGAAGGAAAGTGCTGGGTTTTCCAACACCCTAGAGCTCTCCAGCAGAAAGTATATAATATAGGGGAGCCACAGCATGTAGAACACGCTGGTTATCCGAAACAAAACCATGGCATAGCGGCGATCAGGGCTGTGCCCAGTCTCCCCAGCAGCATCCACTTCGTGGCTAGGAAATCGAGCTCTCCGATCATTTATCTCTTTGGTGTGCTGCCGGCAAATTTTAAAGATGTGGAAATACGTGAAACATATGACAAAGGCAGCAGGAGCGTATAGTAAGCACACAATAAAGCCAGTAAAATAGGCATTAGTTAGCCAGGAGGTAGCACACCATTCAAAAATATCTCCATGGTAACCAGGTTTTCCCCAACCAAAAAAGGAAGGCAAGAAGATCAGACAGGAGTATATCCAGATCAAAATTATGCAGATTCTCAAGCGACAAGGTGTGACCAGTTGATTATAGGAGAGAGGCTTTGTTATAGCGAGATAGCGATCCACACTGATGCAAGCAAGACATGCCATAGATACGCTTTTGAGCACAGAGATGATATATCCAAAAACTTGACAAGTCAAGGACTCGTGGACACCTGTCGAGTAGTGGAGCAGTGACAAAGTAGGAACCAAGCAGCTAACTCCAACAAAAAGATCAGCATAGGCCATAGTCTGAATAAAATAGCTGGTGGTATAATGATGCAGAAGTGGAGCACAGTGAAAAACAAATATCACAGTTAAGTTACCCGCAATAATTAAAAATGTTAGCAAGACAATAACAACCGTCTCAAGGATACAGATGTCAACTGCATTGTAGTGACCAAATCCAAGAGGGCAGGAGAGATGCTCAGATATGTTCATAACACTACTGCTCATATTCAGAGTCCTCCATTCAATCCATCGGGACTGGTTCATGTTTTGTGATTAGGGAACACTGCAATCTGAGCCTTAGTGAGCAGATGACCTGCTTAACAGCAGCTAAACTCTGCTTCAGCGTCTCACGATCTGTCTTTGTAGACACTGCCAGTGCTTACATTTGAGAGGATTACAGTCCCATAGCTGTTGATGCCTCCTCAGCATCAGTGCATCACCTCTGGCACACCTTAGCTTTAAGGAAAGAAAGACAGACAAGAAAAAAAAAAAAAAAAAAAGCCAGAAAGAGAAAGGCCACTGATCAGCTCCTCCAGTGCTCTTGACCAATCTTTAGCAAACACAAGGCACTTCTAAAACAAACAGGTACTGTGAAATACGGAAATAAAAACTGGCAAGAGAGATACATTCATTTCCCAGGGAAGGGGGGGGGGAATCTCTGACTGCTTATTTTCCTGAGAAAGTAATTTGCTTTGGAATATAATGGATGAGGGGGAGGAAGGGAAGGAGGAACCTCAGTACAGCTCAGGTTTCCTGGACCAGCAGTTACTGGAGATAATCTTTTTTAACGTCTCAGTTTAAATCACAGACTAACTGGAGAGTACAGGAAAAAGTTCACCATCTAATGCTGTCTTTTCTGGCTCTGTTCAGGAGATGGTACTCCATCTTATCCATGCTATTCATTGGAAAGGTAAGGAAAACATTTTTGTCAAGGTTAATTCCAATAGACTCACCACTGTTTGGGTATGAATAATGAATTTTATTTGGAGGGAGACAGCTGGGGAACAAGGCAGATTTGTCCTCTGACTCCCAAGAAAGAAAACATACATCTCACATACAATAAGGAAGATCGTGTCTATTCATTTAAAAATGAAAATAATTTAAGAATAGAAATTTGGAGACTTATGTCAATATTCACAATTCCTTCAAACAATTATAGTCCATTACAATTATTAATGCCAGAAGCATAATTCAAGGTCCCCACAGACAAAATAAATCCTCTTGAATTTAACTTCAGCAGTGGTAATTTAAAATAATCATCTTTGGAAACTCTGCCATATCTGCTACAGTGGATCAGTACCCAGGAGTTCATAGGTATATCCATGATATTGCTCACCTCTGTAGCTACACCTGAATCATTTCACAAACCCCCATACAACGAGAACAGAAACTTCCATCTGCATTCTGCTGCGAAGCTAATGAAATGCTGATTTGACTAGAAAAGCTGCCATTGTTTACTAATCCATTATTCTGTTTTTCAGCTTCATCTTCTATGTAGTTTTAGGGTTTCTATATTTATTAGATGATCAGCATAATAAGTAGTTGCTTTAAAAAAAATGTTCTTCTAATTGCAGGCCATTACCTTGTTCATTTTATTCGCAATTATGAAGAAAGCAAACATTAAAAGAAAGCATCTTCTGTGTTCAGTTTTAAGTAAATGCTTGATTAGTTCAGGAAACATTAGGCAGGTAATTAATTGTATACAACCTTGCTTTTTGAAAGGCCGCTAAAATGTTAAAACCATCTTTAATCCTAGAGTTCCTGAGACTAGAAGACTGGCAGTGAGAATTAATGAATCCACATAAAATGATCTCCAAGGTCATTCAGACTATTACGCTGGCATTTGCTTTAAGTCTCTTTAAAAGTACCAGAATCTCTCTGATGTTTTTGATAGTCCTTGTTGTGTCTTCAGGAGGAATTTCAGGTACTAGAAAAGAAATATTCTCAATTCTGTTGCAGCAGTTTGAGAGAGAGCATTCTTTTTGGAGTTAATTTCCTGTTGTGCATCGCCACGCTGTACAGAAAGTCCTTCTGATTTTATAACATCCCAGAATATTTCCGGCTATTTGTTCCCCTCGTCTACAAGCAACAGAGCACGTATAAAATTACTACTTTCTCCAAATATCTGTTAAAGCAATATAGCAATCTTTCTCACCTACACGCATCCTTATCAGCCGCTATGGTGAACTGCTTGACAGAGGAGTCCTATTTACAGTGGTGCGGCTAGAGCTTCTGTCGCTATTTCTCTCCTTCCCCCTTGAAATTATTGCTTGCACCTGAGTCC